CATCAGGAACCCAAGGAGGGGTCGCTATGAGTCAGATCCAACTTGACGGCAGTGAGTTTGGTTTTTTGGAAAGCTGAGAAGGCAGGAAGGGATGGGGAAGAAGGATGAAGGGAAACGAGAAACAAGGAGGAAGTGGAAAGAGTCCTGTCGCATTGCAGGATTGCAGTCAGTGTCACGAAGCAAAACGTGTATGGATTGTCGAATGGATAATGAATTTGCTCTGTCAACTTTCATCCAAGTCCCAATACAAAAGTAAGTAATTTTTAAAAATTAACCATAAAAAAAGATGACATGGAACATGCAATAGGGAAAAAATAACCATGCCATGTAAAAATACATGAAAGTGTATATAATAGGAATTGTTAAAGAAAAATAATGCTCAACTGTTCACAGAAACTAAAAACTCTTGCATGATAAAGGCAGTTCTAGGAAATGTTAAAATAATCAGATGAGTCATAGGAGCTCTGGTGGCACAGTGCTTAAGGCATTTGACTGCTAACCAGAAGGCTAGCGGTTCAAACCCAGCAGCCACTCCTCGGAAGGAAGACTGGGCAATCTACTTCTGTAGAGATACCGCCTCGGAAACCCAAGGAGGGGTCGCTATGAGTTGGATCCGACTTGATGACAGTGAGTTTGAGCTAGCCTATGGGATGCAGACACACAAACGTAATAAACCAATCCAAGCTGCCTCATGCCCATTAAGTGAATGACAGCCAATCATTTTAAGTTGCCCTATTGGGACCTCCTCTAACAGTTTGTACTGTATATAAGCTGATCAAAACTGCCATGTACCCAGCTCATCTCTTTGGAGGAATGCTCCTGCTTCTAGACCAGTTTTATCCCTGCTAGTAAAACCTTGAGGAGCTCTGGTAGCATAGTGCCTAAGGCACTTGACTGCTCACCAGAAGGCTGGCGGTTCAAACCCACCAGCCACTCCTCAGAAGGAAGGTTGGGCAATCCTACTTCCGTAGTGATACTGCCTTGGAAACCCAAGGAGGGGTCGCTATGAGTCAGGGCTGACTCGACGGCAAACAACAACAACAACAACAATAAAACCTTTGGACTCTAATGGACTTATTGATCAGAATTTTGTCTTTCCACAAAATGCACATTTTCCTTTTGTCTCAGGCCCCAATACAGCCTGAATTGACCTTTATTGAACATTTTTATATTTTGTTCATCCTGGACTGTTTTGTTGCATTGTGATTTTTTTAAAAAATACATTGCATTCAAATATTAATTTATCTTGATTACTGAGTTTTTGGTGCCCTGTTAAAGTTTGCACCCAGGGTGAGTGCCTCACTGGCCTTAAAGAGGCCTTAAGTCTGGACCTTAAGGAGCCCTGGTGGCACAAAGGTTAAGAGCTCAGCCTCTAGCCGAAAGGTCTGCGGTTCAAACCCATCCATCAGCTCCTCAAGACAAAGACCTGGTGACCTGCTCCCATAAAGATTGGAACCAAGAAAACCCTATGGGGAAGTTCTTCCCTGTCACCTGTGATATGAGTTGAAATCGACTTGACACCACCTAACAACAATATGGTATTTTCATGGTGTCCTTGTGTGTACATGAAAACTGCACAGTGAATAAGGAAGACCGAAGAATTGAAGCCTTTGAGTTACAGTGTTGGGGAAGACTGTTGACCGCACCATGGACGTCCAGACGAAAGAACAGGTCTGTCTTGGAAGAAGTGCAGCCAGAATACTCATTGGAAGTGAGGATGGTGAGACCTCATCTCATGTACTTTGGACATGTTCTCAGGAGGTCTAGTCCCTGGAGCAGAACGTCATGTTTGGTAAAGTGGAAGGTCCCTCAGCGAGATGGATTCACACCGGCTGCAACAGCGGGCTCGGGCGTGGCACCCACTGTGAGGATGGCGCTGACTGGGCGGTAATTCGCTCTGTTGTACGTAGGGTCACTGTGAGTCGGAACCAAGTCGACAGCACCTAACAACAACGGTCTGGGCCTTGCTTTGGACTTCTCCCCGTGTGTGATGAGGGGCTACGGGAGGGTTTTAAATGCCAGAGTGTGGAGCCCACAGTTGAGTTTCCAAGAGACTGACTCTTCTTAGGGGGACAAGGCAGTAGTTACTCCTTCCTCTTGTCACTTCCTCTTGTCCTGTTTTTTTCCACCCTTCATTCCACAGCCTTCTTCAGAACCCCCCTCTTGTGCCGTGGCCCACACTGGCACAGAGAGAAGTCGGCTCAGGCCTGGGCCTGGCCCTGAGTTTGAGCCAGTGTTGCTCATATGGCCTCAGGGAGTCATTCTACACCCAGAACTGGCCGGGCCCTCCCCAGCTCACAGCCCCTCTGTGGCTCTCTAGTACCCGGGACACAGTCCCGTCCCCACAGTGGCCCTGCAGGGTAGGGCTTGTTGGCCACCCGCGTTGTCACTCCCCACACGGCCAGGGACTGCTCTCCCCATGCCTCCGTCTGTCTGTGGAGTGGGGTCGTCATATGCCCGCCCCTCCGGTCCGAGCCGTGAAAGCAGCGCCCTGTACATGGTGGACCAGGGCCCACGTCCTGCTGTGCTCGGTGTTGCTGATGGTTTTGCCTCTTGTCCCCTCCCTTTCTTGAACCTTGTGGGTCTCCCTCATCAGGAGAAGACTTTGACCAGCTTCACAAAAGGCAACAGAGGACTATCGGAGAAAGAGAACTCGGAGTGACGGGTGAGGCGCCAGAGCAGGGGTAGGGAGTGAGGAGCGGGAGGGGGTGAGGAGCGGGAGGGGGTGAGGACCGAGGGGGTGAGGGGCTCAGGGGAGGAGCCAGAGTGGGGGGTGGGGAGCCAGAGTGGGGGCAGGGGATGGGGAGTGAGGACCCCTGGGCCTGAGGAAGGAAGGGTGGGGCCGGGTCCCCCGGGTCTGAGGGAGGAGGGGCCTGCACCCCCGGGTCTGAGGGAGGAGGGGCCGGGACCCCCGGGTCAGGGGAGGAGGGGCCTGCACCCCCGGGTCTGAGGGAGGAGGGGCCGGGTCCCCCGAGTCTGGGGGAGGAGGGGCCGGGTCCCCCGAGTCTGGGGGAGGAGGGGCCGGGTCCCCCGGGTCTGAGGGAGGAGGGGCCTGCACCCCCGGGTCTGAGGGAGGAGGGACCGGGTCCCCCGGGTCTGAGGGAGGGAGGCTGGGGGCCTGGACTCTCGGGGTTGGGGGTAATGGGTGTCGGGAACAGGACTCCTGGGTCTGAAGGAGAGAGGCTAGGACTCTGATCCGAGACTCCCCGGCGGTGACGGAGCCGCACAGCTCTGGGCCCAACCTCCGCCATCTCTGACGGCCCCTCCCCTCCCGCAGGAATGGCCAAGGCCCGGGATTGGACCAGGCCCCTCAGGACCCCACCCCTTCCTGCCCGGACCGTAAATTCATCTCCTTGAAGCCATAACGTCCGAGCCGAGTGGTGCGGGGCACCCTGACCCTGCTCATCTCTCCCACCGTCAGCGGCGTGGGGCGGGAGGCGGGCAGGTCCAGCCCCCTGTTTCAGGGTGGGGGGCATTCGGTCTCCACTGTGTCTGTCTTCCTTGCCCCAGGGCTCCCCCTCAAGGTGAGGGGCCATGCATGTCTGGGGGACCCCTGCGCCCTAAAACCTTCTGTCTGTCTTTCTGTCCCTTTGCTGTTTGTCCAAGATTTGGTACCCTGACCCTCGTTCTCGCTGTGAATGTCCACGGACCAGTCCTCTGTGTTTCCCAGACACACACGCACACCTGTGTCCTGTGTCCACCCTTCTGTCCACCACACCCCGCGTCTGGCCGATCCCCGCAATGCTGCTGCTATCAATGCCAGAATAAACACAAACCATGGGTCTCACTCCACCTGGGACTCGTGTCCTCCTTGGAGCTGGTAACCTGGGCTAGATCAGGCAAATGTCTTGTTTGTATCCTGTTGGGTGACTTTGGGCTTTCTGAGCTTTGGTTTCTAGACAGTATGTTAGCCAGAACCATTTTGAGTGTGGAAGACAAAATGCAACTCAAAGTACCTTCAACCACAAACAGTAGAGTATCTGAGGGGGTATAGTGAACTTCAGGCATGGCTGGATCAAGGTGTTAAAAAGAAACTGTTTCTTCCCTGCTTTCCTCTTTATTAGCTTTGCTCTCAGGCAAGTCTTTGAAGTGGTAATAAGATAGCCCCTGGGAGCTTCCGGCTTATAATGCTCCATCTGTTACTATGCCTTCAGCTGCAAAGAACAGAATTGCCAACTAAAAGAGTTTGCGAGCGACAGTGTTCTTTTTTCTCATATACAGATAATTTGGAGACAGACAGTTTGTTCAGCTGCTTGGCCGCGCCTGGCACTGGGCTGGCGCCCTGAGATTCGTTTTGCCTTCCCCTCACGAGTACAAATTGTCTACGTGATGTTCCCAAAGTGCCGTTGAAAGCAGAGAACGGAGACAGGGTCCTCTCCTTTGTGTTCGTTCGAGTTCTCCTGACTTCTCATTTGTCAGAACTGGTTCCATGGCCACCTGAGTTGCAAGGCAGCCTGGGAACACGAACGTGTCTGGTCTTTACTGTGGGATGTGGCCTTTGCCAACAAAGGAGAAGGGAGGGTGACCGTTGGGCTGGAAAATTAACAGCCCCTGCTGCGCTGCCTCTCGGAGCGGATCATGTCAGCAGAAACGTCCTGAATCCTCCTTAGCCCTCGGCCCCCACGCTGTTCCTTGCCATCAAGTACATTCCGACTTGCGGGGACCCCGTGTGTGGCAGAATGGAACTGCTCCGCCACACCCCACGTCTGGTGGGGCCTCCCCTCTGCGCTGAGGATAAACACCCACCGTGGGTTTCACTTTGCCAACAGCTTGTGTCCTGCCTGGGGCTGGGGGGCTGGCCCGGAACAAGCCGGCTTTTCGAGGCCGTGACCTTTTGGAAGGAGATTGCCAGGCCTGACTTCCGAGGTACCTCTGATGGGTTTGAACTCCTAACGTTTTCAGCGAGGAGTCAAGTGCTTAAGCTGTAGTGCCACCCAGGGACTCCGAGGAACAACCCAGGGTGGCCAGTAGCCACCAGGCTCGGAGAGAGGCAGGCGGTAGTTCCTCCATCAGAAGGCTATCGACGCAGTTTGCGTGAGACAGTCAGTTTCTGTTGTTTGAAGCCACTCGGCTTGTGATAGTTTGTTCTGACAGCCCAAGAGCAGTAACAGAAACTCCAGGGCTAGGATCTCTGGGGCTTCGATTCTGCTCTGTGGCTTGGAGCCCTGCTGGTGCGACAGTTATGCACTCAGCTGCTCACCAAAAGGTTGCTAGTTCAAATCTGCCCAGCAGCTCCCTGGGAGGAAGACCTGATCATCTATGGCTGTAAACGTTATGGGCTAGATAACCCTACGAGACCATTCTGCCATGTTGCATGGGGCTGCTTGGAGTCGGAATAGGGCTTGACATCTGCCTTAGTTCTCCAGTGCTGCCTAACAGAAATGCCACAAGGGGGTGGCTTCAACAAACAACTTCACTCTGTCACAGTTTAGGAGGCTTGAGGTGTGAATTCAGGGGACCAGCTCTAGGAGAAGGCTTGCTTTGTCAGCTCTGGGGGACGGTGCTTGTCTCCTTTCAGCATCTGTGGGCCCAGTGTCCCTCAGAGATCTCCATGTGTGTTGGCATTAATCTGCCCCTGGGTCTAGGAGGTTCACAGCGTAGGGACCCTGGGTCTAGAGGCCACACTCAATCCGTGGCTCGCTCTTGGTGGTACGGAGGTCCCTCTCCTCTGCTTGCCTGGCTCTCCTTTCATATCTCTCGTAAGATACAAGGTGACGCAGGCCACACTCCAGGGAAACTCCCCTTACATCAGGTCAGGACTGTGACCTGATTGGGGGTGTTGTGTTCCGTCCTACCCCCCTTACAGCCGATTGGCTGATCGCATCACAGGGGATCGTTACATCATTACATAACGTCCAAGCCACAGAGTATCGTGGCCTAGCCAAGGGGACGTACACTTTGGAGGGACACCATTCAAGGCCTGACAGCATCTAACAACAACACGGCTTGTCTGCCTCTACAGCGTTCAGGAAAAAGATTCTGATTGGTTTGGCTCAGGCCTTGCGTGGATTCTGATTGGTTCTACTCAGGCCTTGGCTGGATTCTGATTGGCTCTGCTCAGGCCTTGGGTGGCCACCTCAGGCAATAACTATCCACAGCAGGACTTACCCCGTCTTGGGCCCACCT